CACACAATAAACATGCAAATGCAGTGGGCGTTGCATGTGCGATAAGCCAATTCTGTTGTTGCAGCAACTGTGGCAAATGCTGCTGTTGTTGTTGTTGCTGCTGCTGCTGTTGCCATTGTTACTGCTGCTGCCATAGCTATTCAAAACAAATACTGAACATCGCACGAAATGACGAAGAGATTTCGTTAACTTGATTAGCCAGCTAGCAGCTATTGGTATTAGCTGTAAGTCGATAGGTGAGCTACACTAATTACATACTGTATCCATAGCCGTATTGTTTTCTGCAGATTAATTTCAATTTAATATACGTACTATTATGCCCTGTCAAGCAGAAGGTCTCAATTGTCAGTGATTCATTTTTAAATCGGCTTTAATTTAATTTTATACGAATCCCTTATAAATAAATAAATATTATAAAATTTGTCGTAATATAGAAAATATAAATGTCGAAAATTTCAAGTAAATATATATATATATTTTACATTTTAATATTATTTAATAAGATTTTCTGCATTGAACAGTTTTGCTGGGAAAAACCCAAATCACAGTTTCGTCAGCCGATAAACGTTAAATTTTTGCAATTGCCCAGTGCATATTATAATGTAAATTGATAAATGGTAATTAAAATCTATTTAGCGAAACTACACAATTTGTTTATAAATTACACTAAATTATGCAAATTTGTTGGGTTCCATGCGAGCCATCGAAATGAGCCTGAAATGGAGCTCATGCTGTTGGCCCGCTGGCCCGCGGATCCACCGTGGTGTCATAATTAGAACGTGCCATGCACGCTGACAAGGATGGCAGGCAGTGTGCCACAAAGCACCACTGTGCACACACACAAACGCTCATCAAATCCACTTAAACTGGTAATGGACGTGCGTTGCCGTAGAGATCAGCCCAGCAGCCCAGCAGGCCGGCGGGCCGGCAATTGGTTTTATTTGCTGTCAACTAACAGCAAAACACGCATACGACGCGTTGCACCGTTGCATAGCTGATTGTGGCACCCACTGGGAGGTGTGTGTGTGTGTGCGTGTGTTCGACTGGGCCTGGCTTGGTGTGGCATTAAGTGCCGCTTGGCCTAGCCAAAGGTGCAACGGAGAGACGCCAGCAGCAACAGCACGACGATAGCCACGAGGACTCCTGCTGTTTGCCAGCTGCGGGCTGCATTAGGCGGCAAGAGCAGGAGTAGGAGCAGTAGCAGGAGCAGGAGCAGAGGTGCCGCCTCTCCACGCGACGGTTAATGTGATTTTTGCACTGATTTGCGTTTAATTGAATTTTGCGTTTGACACACAGCTGCTGTTTGACCTTCCCCCTGCTCGAATCGCTCAGCACATTAAATCGCGCCTCGAGCATATTGAGCCCACTTAAAATGATTACGAGCCGGCCCTAAACGAACGGAGAGCTCGCTCTCTCGAGAGATACATAAATCAAGACGACTGCTCAGTGGCTGGTCAATGAACCGCAAAGGCATAGGCAACACAGCTGGAAAAAGAATATGGGAATAGTGAAAATAAAAAAAGATAAAAATAGGCAGTGGCAGAAGTCTGGTCTATGTACCGGCGACTCCTGCTCCGGTCTATAGCCATTAATGATGTGGCCTACAAGCCTCGATACGGGCGCGAATACGTGCCTCAATGCCACAGCTGCCGCAGCTGCCCGCCTCTCAGCTGTTGCAGTCGCTGCCAGCAGAACTCTGCCTATGCCTATGCCCATCGAGTACTCAGTGGAGAGCTGTGGAACAGTGGAAGGAATGCGCCAAGCGGAAACAACTTAATGACGCGCGGCGCTAATGGTTCACTTAAGCACCCACATAAGTTACCCGCTCGCTTTCCAAAAACAGAGCGATAGAACATATATATACACGTAGTGGTAGAGAGAGAGAGAGAGTAAAAAAGAGAGAAAGAGAGAGAGAGAGAGAGAGAGAGAGAGGGAGAGTGAGAGAGTGTAGAGAGTGAATTTTGGTGATACAAATAAATGAATACGCTGACAAATTTACAGGTTTAATCTATATTATTAATATCCAATAAATAAATAATTAATAAACACAATTAAAATTTAAAATATTTCAAATATTTTTATTTATATTTATCTATACATATATGTTAGTTAATTATTTTTTCATTTTTCATGAATATTGCAGTGATCAAATATTCAAGTTATAATAAAATAATATAATAATTAGATGAGAGATGAACATAATCGAGTTTTATAAAATGCTTTAATTAGTATACAATAACCTAATAGTTTTCGTTAGCTATCAAGTTTGTATATTATGAATTTAATTATTCACTTTTTTCATATTTAAATATAAAGATTCATTAATTATTCATCAATGAGTATTATAATTAACATGTTTTTATATATTTTATTAATATATATTGTTCATATATATATGTCAGAGCATATATATTTCCACTCAATATATATACACACAATAATTTTCCAATAATCTACTATTACTCTTACATATTAAGAGAAATTAATTATTTATATGCATATATACGATGTAAGGCAGACCAAAGTTAATTACTTTTATTTTAATACTACTTATAAATAAACGTAAACCTATATATTGCACACCCAAAACAACTCATTTATATAGGGTATATCCTCGTCACCCTCACTCAAGTGGAGCTCCCTTCGTTTATTTTTGGTATTTCTTTTTTTGGTTTTTTCTTTGCCCCATTACATTTTAGAGGCGTCGCAGGCTTGTGGGTGTCACAGTGTTGTCGTTTTGCCCGCCAAAATCGGCAAACGGCCTCCCCGCACCGCTCCGACTCCTCCCTCTCTGCTCTAGGCTCCAATTTTGTCGTACAGTTTGCTTCGACGGCTTCTATGCGTACTCCAGTGCCTGGCCTGGACCGGCGTCTGCTTCCCCGCCGCCGAGTCGCACAGTAATAATTTCTCGCTAATGGTGTCCTAAATTGTCAAGAAATATGGAACCATTTGAATGTGTTTTCCCCCCACCCACGGACTCCACTTCAGTGTGAGCGCGTGGGAGTGCCAAGCGGAATGAGTTTATATACATATATACACAGTTATGTGTGTATATATATATTTATGATAAGTATATGCGCTCTGTTGCTGAGAGTGCGGCTTTTAGTTCGTTTGTGTTCTTGACTTCCGGTTAGCCTGTCGGCTAGGAAAGTCTTTGTTTTCGCTTTTGATTTCTTTTATATGGGCTAAAAAGCAGCAGCAGCAGCAGCAGCAGTGGGCGTGTCTTTAGGATGGGCGTCTATGCAGTGTACATGTTTTTGACAACTCAAAGCACACTATGAAGGCTACACAGCTGCTTATATGGGCCACCAGCAGCAGCCAAAGGCAAAAGCATTTCCCAATGCAATCGGCCTAAGCAAAAATATTTATACAAATCAATAAATAGCCGATCAGCCTTTTTTTTTACTTAGAGCAAAGAGAATGAGTATAAGAAAATTATTAATCATTTTTCTATGATTGTGACCAAGCTGAGGAATTTATTGGAATTGCTTGAATTGTGAATTTCATTCGACTAAAGTGAGTTGATATTCACTCTATTTAAAGCTCTTGGCGTTCATCAATTTTCTCTCCAGGGCCACTTGTTGCAGCGTCAGCTTAAGGGCGACTATCAATTGTGTAGCTGCTCATTAAATATGGCTGCCTTAACGTAACGTAAGCGTGCTACGTCACGCATACGTCGCATCATTGAGCTATACAGTAGAATTCTGTGTTATCACCGCTTTGTCTCAGCACTTTGCTGTTGTGGTAAATACCCTCAAAGATGGCATCTCGCATTCATCTTCAGCTATTCAGACAGACAAAAAATGAAACTCACGAAGTGTTTGCGTGTGTGTGTGAGTCTGTTGAAGCATTTATGCCAACACAGACGTAAAAAATCTGCTACTTATAAATTATGTTTATTTATTTATTATATTTTTGAAGCAGCTGCGCTCGACTACGCAACATTTTCTTCCTGCTGTCAACGAGTGTCCTGGCTGCTGGCTGGCTGCTGGCATAACAATGCTTTCGCTTTGTCTCCGTCTTTCACGTTTTCTTCGTTTTCATAAATCTGCGAAAAGAAAGATGAAAAAATACGTTGTACAAATGTTGTTGACAGCGGACAAACGGACAGAGGGACAAGCGGACGGCGGGCCACGAATGGACCCTACAGGACACTTTCAAAGCTGGCCATTTAGGAAAAACGAAAAAAAAAAATGGAGAAAAAATACAAGACGAGGGTAGCCTCAAATTGGCCAAGCTGACGAAATTGCGGTAGCCTGAAGTACCCCCAAGCGTTTATCGGGCATTTGTTGCTAATAATGTTGTCGATGTGACAAACACTAATACAAAGCCCGTGCCATCTACATAATGACTGCGCCAACAATATCGAACGTTTCTCAATATCAGACGATTAGCTAATCCCGTTGCGTATATACATATATTCATACTTGACTAAATCTCTCTGCCAACATGACTGATGGAACTATGTAGTATATTTAAATATATGTATATGCACTGCTGTCGGGCAATATTTCGTAATGCTCTTATTTGTTGAGCAGGATTTGGACTTAGCTAGAGCCTTACAGACATAAACAGCTAAACCTATTGAACACTATTGGGATTAAAGATGTTTAGCTGAGCTTCAATGTGGCAGTAGTTGTCCTTGGGCAATAATGCAGGGTGCAATGGAGGTGTGAGTAATATATTATAGGATTTATTATTGTTCTTAGCAGCTCAAAGTAGTTGCCTATTTTTGTTAAATATAATAAAATTGCTTGTTAGCTAATATCTAAAAATTATGATGAATAATTAATTAACTTAAGCCTGATTAATGTGTAAAATGAAATAACTTTCACATGATTAATTTTCTATCTGAAAAATCTAATATATACTGCTTCCCTTTTGATCTTATTATTTCTATACCTAAAATTTAATAAATTTATTAATATAAGTATTTTATTTCATTTGGCAGCCCGGTTAGCTAAGCCTTTACAATACTTTCAACACTTTGTATAAATTGCTCGAGCTTCAAGCAGGCTTTCGTTCATTTCCAAATTCAATTTGATACATTATAGCTCCACATTTGTATTTGAATAAACTTTGTGATACGACTTTATAGAAAATGGCAAGAAACGACGTCCTGATTGTGTCGCCGCTGAACGTTAAGTTCCAATCTCCGTTTCCGCACATACAGAAGCGACAGCTGAGTCTGCTCAACCTGGGCCCGCAGCCCGTCGACTTCTCCATCGACATTGGCAATACGATGCTCTTTCAAGTGCAGCCCACCTGTGGCCGTGTCTCGGGCTTCGACACCATCGAGCTGAGCATCATCATGCAGCCGGTAGAGAGCGATCAGTGGGGCTGCTCTTTGGCAGTGAAGCACAGGGTGAGGGACGCATCATGCAGTCTACAGGCGCTGGGGGATTGGAAGGACGCGCGAGTAACTCTGGTTGCCATTACGCTCGAGGACTCTGTGGCGAACGAAAAGGAGTTGCTCAGTGTGTTCAGCGAAATCGATGAGAAGACCAAGGGCCTTTTCGAAATCATGGAGAAGCAGTATCAGCCCTTGTGCCAAAAATGCAGCATGAAGCGTTTCCAGCAATCGTCGAGGAAGCGCAGCAAGCTAAGGCATCTCTGGTGCCCACTTTTGGTAGCCTTGATATCGCTGTTGAGTGAGTGTAGCCATCGTCCATACCTTGTCACATTCAAAGAGCTTCTTCTGTTCAGGTTACTATCTGTGGGTGCTAAGCGGCGTGCAAGAGTACAACACTGATGCGATTCACTAAAGGGGCGGACTGGAGGCGTGTAGCTGTGACAACAATGCAAATCAATTATTAAATTATGCAAATAGAAAACTACGCCTCAAGCACACACACGTTTCTGTCTGCAACACCCACATCCACACTCACGGCGAGTCGAGCTGAGATTGATAAATCAATCATACGCGCCGTTGGCTGCGGCTTTAAATCAACTTGCCTGCTGTCTGCTTGATTAGCTTAACTGCCGTTTCATTAGTCTGCTTTTGCAGTGCAGCGATTGAGACAGCCAAACACCACAAGCAACTACACACACACACGCACACACACACGCACACAGACACATGCACACAATCGAAGCTGGTTGCTTGAAAATTTATTTATAAAGCAATTATTGCCACAATTAATTTCTGATTGCATTCGAGACGCGTATCAGCTATTTCATACGGCTCTATATATTGCCATTGACTGCAACTTTAATTAATTTACGCTTGTCTGGAGCAGTCGCTTTATGATGCCAATTAACATTCTGTGTGGCAATTCAATTTACTTGACTTCCCCACTTGAAATTCTAATGCAAATCCCTTGCAGCGACAGCCAAACTACAAATTGATCCCCTGGGCATTGCGCTAAAGACCCCGCCGCTGCCCTCATCACAGCCAATTCATATTTATTTTATACAATTTGCACAAAAATGAGCGACACGACACCAGACCAGACCTCGGCTCGGACAGACTCGGCCCGGCCCGGTCCAGGCACTTAAACTGCCGTCAGCCACTGCAAATATCCCCAATGACTCTTTTTCTGCATCGTTCAGTGTTCGTTGGCCCGCGCTTCTTATGCCGTTTGCTGGCATTTTTATCGCCCAGCTGTAAATGCAACAAGATGAACGCAACCAAATACTTGAAAAGGAAAAGTTCGTTAAGTGTTTCGCATGCAGACAATGAACGCTCGGGAGCTGGAGAGTCGTTAAAAGCGTGTTATGGCATGATTATAAACTTGACAGAATGCGAGTTTGGTTTACGGGGGATTATTGCTAAAATTATGCCATAAATATGACATACAGTGACGATATAGATAAGAAACTCGCAGAAATCTAAATAGAAAATTCCTGCTTTAACTATTTTAATTATAGCACAATATTAAGATTAACGTGAGCTAATTTTGGATATGGATATAGAAATTTATACATATATTGAAATTAGAAAAATTCTTTTATATGATGATAAAGGTGAAGTTATTATAAACTGAAATAAAATATATAATATATTACTTTAATTTTAGATAAGTCAATGCCATTATATTTTCAAAGTGAATTGATGTTCTCGGCGTACATATAAAAGCGTACGGAAAACATCGAAACAGTCGCTACTAATGCATCCAGTTGACAACATGTGGGGCTTTACTAAAATATTTTTAATCCTGGTGTTGATGAAGAGCTGCTATGCAGCACCCGCAGCCTCTTCAGAGCGTGTTGAAACCGATCCCATGCTTATAGCTGGATACACCGAAGGCGATATGATTCTGAGCAAGGACAGAAATGGATTGATCAGTGAAACTTATCGCTGGCCCAATGGCACTGTGTACTATTATTTCAATAGCGATATAGGTGAGTTTTATTTTCAAGTTTTTGAATTGTCTTGTTATTTGTGTTCCCTA